ACATTGTAAGCAGTTTTGGAATATGATCAGGAAAAGTTGATAACCATCGTCGAGAAATCAATGAGGAGTAATTTAATTGATTACAATTACTTGTACTGATTTCCGATAATTCCTCCTTCTACTTATAATGGGAATCATCTTCGTATGCATTTCCTTAGAAACTTTTAGACATTACACTTTACAATAATTTACAACTCATTCCTTTGAAAAATTGTTCACGAGATCTATCTTGGAAAAAGACCCATTTTATCACAATTGTTGACGTTTCTTCTACGAAGTATAAAACTTCTCCTTTTCCATGTAAGAGGTATTGCGTGAGTTCCATGAGCCCAAAACCCCGGCCGGGTTAGAGCGCTCAAAGTGGGCGGTGCACTGAGCGGCGGAGACGTCACATGACTTCATTAAAAAATTAATATTTTACGAGCCAGTTGATGTCATCAAACAAAAATTTGATAAAGCGTTCTTAATAATATTTCCCACAAGATATATTTTTTTTCATATTTTTCAGAGTGGAACTCACGAAACAACAACTATTTTTCCAATTGTTTATTTAAAAAATACCAGTAATATTCATTTTTTTCGATCAATTTTTTTTATATAACTAACTATCCTTTCTCAACAATAAGACCCTTCTGAAATTTTTGGATTAAATGCATAACTTTAAGATATAAATATTCAAAAGCATGTCTATTCGTTATTCACTGGAATTTTGCAATTATTATAACGTTAACAAAAAAAGAAAAACAATGGGCTGTTGATAGTATCTTTGGTCCTCCTTCTGTGATATATGCAATTTAAAAAAAAACACATTTTTTACCCTCGTTGAAATAGCGTGGAATGTCCCTCATATGCCATATGACCGTCATCTACCACCTAAATAGCAAAAGTAATGTGATACTACTCAAATTATAACCAGAAATGGGACATGACATGACTGTCATACGACGGTCATAACTAAATTGATAAATAATTAATAAGTCAAAACCTGCCCACTAACATGAGTTCATTGACGTCTGGGTTTCTGATGATTATTTCCCCCATCACCAAATTGTTCATCAACTCACTGGTCAACGAATACACTTAGGGAGTAATGAATAATCACATTACTCCCTAACATCACAAAACTAATTTTTTGTGCGAAATATCTTATCTTTTAGGGATAAATCGCTTGGGACAAGAATACCGCATAATGATTCAGATAATGTAAAAATTCGGGGAAATGTTCATGACTTGAACATGAACACTTCACGATAAAGTGGGAATTTCTTGTCTCACGACATTGTTTTTTTCGTATCAAAAGATGATAAAATAACAGCAAATACTCTCTGATTCAGTCAATGATGAATCAGACTTTTATATGGAACGAATACAGAATTTATACCGAAGAGAACCTCGAGATATTTTTAAAGTATCACTCTCCCCATTGCAATGAATAGAAAGCAATAATCTTTTTTCCTTCTTCCAAACTTCCCTTGACTTTTCCGAAATATTATTTTCATCACGCTGTGACGAAATAGTATATTACGTGCTAAGGCGGAGAAGTGCTGAATTCAACGCTGGTGGAGTACAGGCGCACGAGGCACGTGAGTCGGAGACGAGGCCGCCGAAGGCGCGTGCCTCGTGCCTCGTGCGCCTGTACTCCACCAGCGTTGAATTCAGCACTTCTCCGCCTTAGCACGTAATATACTATTTTGCACTCGTTACGAAATATACTATTTACTCCGAGGAATAATATCATTTTTTCATTCATTATCATACTCCTTCAGCCCGAAAAGCACCGATTTCTTGTTTGAAACCTGCCATGAATGGATCGCATATGTATACGATGTTTTTCGCACACGAAATTAATTTTAAAATATATCGATTTTTCTGTCGGTATAGTGGCACCGAATCTCGCGGAAATTTCGAACAATGGTAAAAATTCGACTGGGTTGTAGGTCGCTCGCTTCGCTCGCTCCCATTACAGGTGGGTTGATGTGGGTGTAACCCATTATGGGTCGAACCAATAACTTCCCGACTAATTCCCATTTTTCTGTTTATTAGAAAGAAAAAACGCAAATTTTGACATTTCCATTCGGATAGCAAGAAAACGGCTCAGACGATTTTGCTCAGAATCCAATCGAAATCGAATTACATGTAGATGCATCGACCGTACTAAAAAAAAATAAAACCGATTATTATTCTCGGTAAACTTGTTAAATTTTTTTAAAAAGTCATTTTTTTCGATTTTTTCACAAGTTTTGTGCGAATAACTAATGAATCGCTGAGACGATCGTATTCATAAGCTAATCAGTTCTAAGTCACATTAACGCGCATCGATTAAAAAAAAATTTTGTTTTGAATCGGTTCATTTGTGCAGAAGGTATCGTTGGACAAAATTTTGGTCACACATACACACACACACACATATCACATAGCATCCTAAAAAAACGTATCAGGATGATTCTGGAGGCCAACAAATGTGGAGAAATCATGGGAATTCCATTTCGATTTTCGGGGTCATTAAAATAAATTCTTCTCCGGGTCGGAAAGTTAAAAAAGATCTATGTGAGTGCCAGTTGACGGATATGTTCAAAGCCTTGATACCATAACGAAAGTAAGAACGCATTTTTCGATCGAAAGATTGCTTACGTTTATATCACGATTCGAGAAGCGAATTCTAAATCACTTCCCTATAGATCGGGAAGTTAAAAATAAAACAATTAAATTTTTATTCTTTATTTATTTTTATTCAAAGCCTTGATACCAACGAAAGTAAGAACGCATTTTTCGATCGGAAGATTGCTTACGTTTATATCACGATTCGAGAAGCTTATTCTAAATAACTTCCCTATAGATCGGGAACTTAAAAATAAAACAATTAAATTTTTATAATACCTACCTGAAAAGTTCATTTTTCGCGACGGTTTAGGGTGCATAAAGTGTTCATTTTCTGGACGTTGTGTATAAAGTTCCGAGGCCGCGCGTAAAGTGAATTCTCGTGTGTAAAGCTTCGCTGACAAATTCACTTTCCCGCCTCGAACTTTTTATGCATCACGGACATAAAAACAACCACTTTACCAACCCTACCATCCCAACAGTAAACTCGGCAGCTATCAAGTAAGATAATATGTGTTACTCGTGCATGTGTCGAACTGTAACTTTATGAAATTTTAATACAATAGACTATTTCCTATACATCGAACCTTTTTTCTCATCACACTGAGAGAAAAAATTAGCTCTGTCGAAAAGATAAATGTTCACCTGTACAAAATTTTCTTGTCTCAAGATTATTATTCCCCACGAGAAAATATTCTGCAGCGAAAAATTTATTCTTTCCACTTGAAAATCTGACAGTGGCATATAAATACATATTTTTTCGAGTAGAATGCCAGGATTCAAATATCATGATAAATAATAATCTGCTTGACTGCAAACCAAAAAATTTTCCCCGAAGCAGAAGTTTGAGCTGACAGAAGAACCATTCTTTCAGCAAAAATACCACTGTATAATCTCTACTGCGACTTTCTCTACTATTTCCAATATTACTCATTTATTTCCCCGCCATTGATAGTTATTGAGTGAGAAATCAAAGTCCAGTTCTGAGGTCACAAACGGATAAGTTTGAGAAGATCAAACCTCTGATCCACAGAAAATTTCAAAACCTTTTACGAAGCTTTTTTGTAATCAGCGGAATAGTGTACTTCTTTTCCGCTTGACTTGTGTACGTGAAAAAAAAACAGATTTTGAGGCGACAAATTATTTATCTATTTACATCAAACTATACGTTGACTCCACGTATCTTATATTATTAGACGAAGTTATCTCGATAGTTTTGAGCGGGATAAATATATTTTCGGCAGAGGTAATTTTTTCTCTCAGACTTCACACCCAACGTGATAGAATTCCAACACTTCGTTTAAAGCTCCAGTCACCATTTTAGTAATAATGCCGCATATATGCGGACTAGAACTGTCAATCAACGCCAAGTGACAATCACAGCTTGTTACCGATTATGAACAAAGTGAGCCGCAGTATTCCTTCGAGTCTCATTCTACTGGAGCCAATTAACCCCTTACGAACGGGGCCCTTCTGTTATCAAACAGTGTACGCTCACATAGAGAAAAATATTAAAATTTTTGTAGTGAAATTCTGAGAAAAATTGTAGTGCTGCTCCATATTTGAAGCATAGAATCTCGCAAAGCATAAGAAAAAACGAGAGCACATGAAAATTTGATACGCTAATACAAAAAATGCCGTTGTCAAAATTCCAAATAAATTTTTAATAAAAGTAAAAGAGTCTCCATCATTGTCCTCCAGGGGACGATTTTGTAAATTGTAATGATGTAATTTTTTTGAACAAGAAAAATGTTTGTTTGTAAAATGTTCTTCCTCAATTTCTTGGTACCTGGGATGCGGGGAAGAGGGGCAGTACGAAATATACCATGTTGACACTGCTGCTACGTTCACCTCGTGCCGAAAAGTGCCTTATCGTTTACACGTAAACGAATTAGTATATTTCGTTACGAGTGCGGAAAAGTGGGATTATATCACTCGCCTTCGGCTCGTGCTATAAACCTCCCACGAGCCAAAAAACACTTTTCCCACGAGTATCGAACGATATTTCTCATCACAATGTATGGAAAGGGGACTTTTTATTCACACGAAGCGTGCCTAAAAAGTTACTTTTTCGCACAGCGCGATGAAAAGTATATTTCGATACGAGTGCGGAAATGTGTTTTTTGGCGCGTAGGAGGTTTATAGCACGAGCCGAAGCCAACACACACTTTTCCCATGAGTATCGAACGATATTTTTCATCACAATATGTGGAAAAGGGACCTTAGGGACGCGAAGCGGGCCTAAAGTGTTACTTTTTCACACAACGTGATGGAAAAATCTAAATACGACCAGCAGCATATTCCGAAAGATTTCTGCATATTCCTATTTCGGCAATTTGAAATTCTACATTGCTTACAATATCGTATCAGGGCATTTCAAAGAAATGTTGGTAATGCATTAATGGATAAAAACAGTTTAGCTTTTTATTAGTTTTAGACATCATTTTTATTACATTACGATATTTCCGCTGTTCCAATGGTCTTCAATTTAATTACTTTTTGCAAAGAATATATTACATAGACAGTAATGAATGGATGAGCTCCTTCAAACACTTCCTTTCCTCCAACGCATGTGATCTTGTGAACCTCGAAATTTCCAAAAGGTTCTCTCAGAAATTTTTTACTGAGTCGCATCATTCTGTTCGTGAATTTTGAGCTGTTGTTTCATCAATCAGCATAAGACATAGGCTGTGTCATAACAGTATTTCCGGAAATCTATGGATTCTGTGATAGCTCTCATAGCCACAATCTTTCACCAAGTCATAGGGGACTTTAATTCATGTTACTTTCAACTTATAGCATTCATAAGCATTATAAGTTGCCTACCCACTTAATGGATCTTCTGCATTCATATTTTAAATTCTTTTCAGTACAGCCCAGCTCAAAACTGATTTCTCTGATTTTTTTTTTCGGAATCGTGTTCCGACGAAGTAACTCCACAAACATATGTAGGAAGTCCTCCACAGAAAACATATTGTTCCCAACAATTATATGAAAGTTGACAATGTTTCCGAAGACCCCCCTCCCTTATTCAGAATGTCATACCAAATCAAAGCTAATCATTCAAAGTCTAACTGATTGACACGAACACACGGATGAATTTCATCTGAGCCATAGCTTCAGTCTTAACGCATCAACACCGTTGAGATAGTAACGAAACAGTCTTTTATCTCTAACGAATCCAAGATTCTCGTACAATCTTAATGCCGGCCTGTTGGTTATTTCAGTTTCCAGTACAACTTCATCAGCATCATCTTCAACCATAGCACGTATTGCTCTACGCACCAAGCTGGAACCAATCTTGCGCTTTCTGTAGTTAACATCGACAGCTAACATTGCGATATAACCACGTTTTATCACTTTTCTGTGGATATCAAGCTTGCAGACGATTGCTCCAATGCATTCTTCTCCGTGCATTGCCTGTGGATAAGGGAGACATTTTTATAAGATCAGGAGTGATACTTAAACCTTACTCAATTCTTAACTCAATTTATTCTATGCTAGTTTCTCAAGAGTTCACGGTATTCTGGGTCTGAATAGGAAACTTGCATGAATATTTTTCAATTTTCTAATCTCACGTTTCGGACCTGAATACTTCATTTTTCATTCACAAACGTTTGAAATATTGCTCATTAATTAATAATTAATCGTTAAAAGCTGAAGATTTCAAACGCTTTGAAATCGCTAATGACGTCACAAACGGTCGAGCGCTGGGCCAATCACAGAATGGCTCGAGCCGACCTAACCCAATCTTGAAGTGTGCCTCGGCCAATGGAGGTCGATAACTTCTCACCCGCACAGAAAAAAATATAAGCCAAAACTTATAAGTGAGATATAATGATTTTGCCGGAATTATATCGTGAATATATCCGCCTTGTATATCCGGTATATGTTAGATATATCCGGTGGCATATTATATACACACATATATCCAACATACAGGAAAGTGGGACAAAATGAAACAGTCGAAAAAACAACAGTTTGATGCAATTCAAGCAAAAAAAAAATTGTTATTAAAAATTTTGTTTTGTCAGCTTTTTTTAATTCTTGGGTGTACGGATGAGAATAATAATTTACCCTTCAGTAGAATGGAAAATTATTGAGAACTTTGGACGGGTGAAGATTTTGTCAATGAATTAATTGAAAAAAAAAAATGAAACAGCAAAATCCAGAGTCCAGAGCAAGGCCCGGGGGAAGAGCCAGAGGGAGGAAAAGGAAAATATGATGCTGAATTTCAATCGAATAATCCATTGACAAAATCTTCGCCCATCAAAACTTCTGAATAATTTTCCATTTTACTGAATGGAAAATTATTATTCTCATCAGCACTCCCAAGAACAAAAAAATTTGACAAAAAAATGTAATAAAAATAATTTTTTTTGCTTGAATTGCGTCAGTCGTTTTTTGACTGTTTCATTTTAGCGTGTTTCATTTTGCTCCACTCTCCCCTGAATATCAGATGGCGCATTTTTTGCAGGAAAGTACGCCACATATAAGCGGATATACGTGACATATATTTCTGTATATATATTTTTTACATGTGGACACTGTTCTTTTTCGACTGTTGGATTTCATGAAACGAAATAGTATTCAAAAATCAAGCTCTACGCAGCTCGACACATTTCAGTGTCACCACATAGAATTCTTCAAACTGAGGTTCTTAAAACTGTGTTTATATACGACTACGAATACTATGAACAAAACATAGAACAAAGGGCAAAGAGAAAATGCATTCCAAGTGGTCCCATGTACTGGTCCTTATTATTCTGAAGTTGGTCTCCGACAGCCGAAGTTAGAGTAAAGATCGAGATGCGTCTTCTACGTGCGACGGAATAAAGAATGACAGATTAATTCAATCCTACCCATAAAGCAAATATCTACTAATGAAGCGTTAGCTGACCGTCTTCGTGACGTCATGACCGAAAAATTGGCCCCGAAAACGACCCATTTTCAATTACCTATTACTAGACATCATAAGACATCTAGGCAATATTTCTCCACAATTTTCGCCGTTTGGATATCCACATGTTATGACGAGAAATATGCGAATAGGGGAATTAGAAAGAATTGAGCTTCATGTACACCCTTAAGTCGATCGATACTGAAACTGTCATCGAAGATTTTATCTGTTAACATAAACCCAGTAAAAATAGCTAAAGTTTGCTTTAATGTTATGAATTCTACTGATTGTTTCTACGTGAATCGGGGAGTGATGGCAGCATTTAAAATATATCCCAAGACAATCGGACCCAAAAGTTGATACCAAGGATTTAGTTACTGTTAGCGAGGCTTTCTAACTATTGCCACGATTCGTTAACTATTAACGAATCGTGGTACAAATTAAGAAGCCTTGTTAACAGCGATTGAATCGTTCCACCTTTTCTATCAGCGTATGGATTAAAAAAATTATTCCATCCTATAGGTTGTCAAAGAAAATGAAACATTTTGGTGCTTGATAAATTGGACTCGGTTGATTAGAATGTGAGTTATGTCAAAAATATGGAAGAAGAATCATATTTGCAGTCGGAATTATAAAAAAATTATGAAAAAATCAGGAGATCGTTTTTTAAACCAGTCAGTCCAGCAAAAATCTCCACTCATTTTCAAGAGAATGAGAGTGCGAGGTTGACCGTTTTGCACGAAATAGTTTATCTATTTATCCAATAAATATTTGTTACACTCATTATATTCAGAACACAACTTATGTACATATTCCACGTTCTTGCTTCCAAATGAAAACTTTGTATTTGTTGGATTTTGACATTTTCTAATTTTGCTTGGTAATTATGTAGATTGTTATGTAACGTAAAGAAACGATGTTTTTTACATGAAGCTGAAACTAGCGAAAGATTCGATAGCAGAAGATTTGTCTTAGGCGAATCTAGAGGTGTACAAATGTTTTTAAGTAATGTACAAAGTCTTTCGCACTTGAAAGACATTTGTACATATGATTGTTTGACTCTCCTACACTTAAATATCGCTAAAATTGAATTTTCCGCTGACGAATATTCTGCTAGTTTCACCTGCATGTTTTTTACAACATGTCTATACGTATGTGTGTGACAATTTCGGTTTTGAATGATTGATTTTTAGAAAATGGGGCATAAATACGTTGAAATTCACCAATAAAAATTTGAAATTTTGGCACATGATAGCTATGATTGAGCTCAACTTTGGTGCGCAGTTTCACCCCGATCGATTCATTAGTTTCTGAGATATTTCAGCTAGTTCAAATTTCGTTTTTCCTCAATATCTCAGAAAATACTGCACTGATTGCAATTTTTGTTTTAAATACTCGACTCGATAACTTCTATCTAAATCAATCAAAATATGTATACCCGTTTATACAAAGTTTTCGAGATATTGCCGTTTTTTCATTAAAACGAAAAATTCGGTACGCACCATAACTTGGGGAAAAATGGAGATAACAAATTGAAATTTGGTATGTATGATTCTAGCTCTTATAATATTAAGTTGGTTTTTTGGATACAAGAAAATATTATCAAGGAAATCATCGTTGTCAAAAATCATTGTTTCTCTCAGTATGAAACTAGCGTAATTCTAGCAAAGAGGCCTTGACTTTCCGTTCCGACAGAAACCTCACACTGAGACAAAAATGACCAAGTTCTCAAACAAGTCTTACTTGTGCCAAGAAAATAGTTTTTTAAAAATTATCAGAAAAGGATTTTTTGTGTCAAACATGCAGATGCTGCCGAAATGAAAAGTTTCTGTCGTAAAAATCGATTTAGAAGTTCCAAAAAAATTACATCCTCTGTACATGCAAGAAATGTCTCCTATACGTATTTTGGTTCAATCTTATAACTTGGGGATAAAATATTTGGGTACGAGATATTTTCATCCAGAAAAAGCAACTTCTCGTGTGAATTATCTACCTTTTGAGCCAAATATTTCGTTGTTGTCAAGAGCAGAGCAGTTATTCATGTTTGAGCCTTTCAAATTCGAATCAAACAGTTTCTTTTTTGGCAATGTCGACATCTCTTTATAAAACAAGGGTATTTCAAAATTCATCTGAAAGCTTGTTGATCACATCCATTTCTGAGTCTCACGGAACTCGCAAATAATTTTATTTCTCCTCCAATGGGAACTACTTCATATTATTTGTACTTCTTGATGCATTCATACCATTTATACATCTGTCAAGAGAAGGAAACCGTGAGATTTGAGACGATTTTTCCCACGCTGAGAAAAAAAATTACTTCTGCCAAGTAAATTTACTTGCCACAAGTAAATGTATACAATTATTTGCATTTGAAATGTGTGGATTTTCTTGTAGTTAGCAGATTTACTTGGCAAAAGTAATTTTTTTTCTCAGTGCATGAATTTTGAGATACCGTTGTTTTAAAAAGAGCAGTGAAATACCTCTGTTTTATTAGGAGATGATGATTTTCAATTAGCAATTTTGTTGGCCCAAACAACATTTGCTTGAGAACGTATTAGTTTTTCCCTCAGTGCATACATCACACTCTTGGTGTAGGTCAAAAACAAATTTGACTCACTCATACTTACCAAGAAACACAATTTCGGCCAATTATGAATGAAATATCTATACGTGTAAATTGAATAGGGCTCGCTCAAATCCTTCTGAATAAGTTTCATAATGTCTGGCATTTGTAATTCGCTACTATAGCTAACATAGATTATGTCACTATCCTCATTTTCTCTGCACGTGGTTTCCGTTTCATCTGTAACTCAAGACAATATCAAAGATAGAGAAAAATCGCCTAAAACAAGAACTAGGGACTAGGATAGGGAGAATGGATCTTCTTTCATTATCAATGTATTCATACCACAAAATGACGTGTAAAAATTGTCCTTAAAAATTCTACCAGCAGGAAAAAATTCCACCTGGTGGAAATGTTTTTGAATTCTTATCAACCATTTATTTAAAAACTGTATGATAAAAGAAGTTCATTGCACCTCCACTCACCCTATTCTTTATTATCTGAAAAAATAATATTTACGTAGTTGACTCAAACGACTAGTGTCCACAGTCCGAGGCGTGTCTGGTGAATCAAAATTGAGTTTGGGAGAGCCATAAACTCCATTGATTTGTTGTAGGCCATTTGCACGTGGTTCCTCGGTGTTTTCACAAATTGTTTGCGGACTCAGTCGTGATTTTATATGAAGAGTCGAAATGTCAGGTACTTCACACTCCGTCAAGGTCTGATCTTCGACGTTCGGAGACTTCTCGTCACGTTTCAAAACGTCGTTTTCCATAATTAATGATACGTTTCAAGCTTATTAATTAATATTAATTTAGATTCCGGATGACTGATCTGGAATATTTTTAATTGATAAACGAACAATTTTTCATTTTCCGCGTGACACTCTTTCTGATTAGCTTTTATTTTTCTGAACTGAGTTGTCCTTCAGGTCTCCACAGATAAAATTTCACGGAAATCACGCTGGTTTTAACCGAATTTTCATATTTGATAGGGCCAACAATTTCTCATGCTACGTAACAAATAATTTTTTTAACCTTGTAACTTCAAATACAAAGAACTTGTAAAGTGAACCGTCGGGAGGCAGAACACGACGGCTACCATATTAGATCTTTTATTTTTTTTATTCGTGTGCATCACAATTCCAACTTGCACAGCTGGCCATAGCAAAGTGATGATAAATGAGAGATGAAACAACTTTCCAACTGCTCTATTCTGTTTGATGAAGAAGACAGTAGAGGGCTATGGAGCATCAAAACCCGGGAACAGAGATTCATGGAGAATAGAGACCTCTAGAGGGCTCTATTCTCCATGGCCCTGATGATCTCCCCTATAATCTCTGCCGGGAAATAAACTGATGATTTTGATTACACAAGATCTATGCGCGCGCTCTCGCGCGCGCCGATCTATTCATTTATTGAAATGAAGAAATGGAATTCATTGAATTTCATTTTCTCATGAATACCTTATAAATATTGATAATGAATCAAAGAAAATTCGACTAATGATTGAAGTGAATAGCGAAGTAGAGTAAAGGAATCTATGAAGAATTTTTCATTTTCAATTAATTATCTTCAATTTTTTTTAATAATCGGTCTCCATAAAAGGACAGAATTTATTAATTTCACCGATGATATATATACATGTGAAATATATATATATATATATATATATATATATATATATATATATATATATATATATATTTCACATATATATATATCATCGGTGAAATTAATAAATTCTGTCCTTTTATGGAGACCGATTATTAAAAAAAATTGAAGATAATTAATTGAAAATGAAAAATTCTTTATAGATTCCTTTACTCTACTTCGCTATTCACTTCAATCATTAGTCGAATTTTCTTTGATTCATTATCAATATTTATAAGGTATTCATGAGAAAATGAAATTCAATGAATTCCATTTCTTCATTTCAATAAATGAATAGATCGGCGCGCGCGAGAGCGCGCGCATAGATCTTGTGTAATCAAAATCATCAGTTTATTTCCCGGCAGAGATTATAGGGGAGATCATCAGGGCCATGGAGAATAGAGCCCTCTAGAGGTCTCTATTCTCCATGAATCTCTGTTCCCGGGTTTTGATGCTCCATAGCCCTCTACTGTCTTCTTCATCAAACAGAATAGAGCAGTTGGAAAGTTGTTTCATCTCTCATTTATCATCACTTTGCTATGGCCAGCTGTGCAAGTTGGAATTGTGATGCACACGAATAAAAAAAATAAAAGATCTAATATGGTAGCCGTCGTGTTCTGCCTCCCGACGGTTCACTTTACAAGTTCTTTGTATTTGAAGTTACAAGGTTAAAAAAATTATTTGTTACGTAGCATGAGAAATTGTTGGCCCTATCAAATATGAAAATTCGGTTAAAACCAGCGTGATTTCCGTGAAATTTTATCTGTGGAGACCTGAAGGACAACTCAGTTCAGAAAAATAAAAGCTAATCAGAAAGAGTGTCACGCGGAAAATGAAAAATTGTTCGTTTATCAATTAAAAATATTCCAGATCAGTCATCCGGAATCTAAATTAATATTAATTAATAAGCTTGAAACGTATCATTAATTATGGAAAACGACGTTTTGAAACGTGACGAGAAGTCTCCGAACGTCGAAGATCAGACCTTGACGGAGTGTGAAGTACCTGACATTTCGACTCTTCATATAAAATCACGACTGAGTCCGCAAACAATTTGTGAAAACACCGAGGAACCACGTGCAAATGGCCTACAACAAATCAATGGAGTTTATGGCTCTCCCAAACTCAATTTTGATTCACCAGACACGCCTCGGACTGTGGACACTAGTCGTTTGAGTCAACTACGTAAATATTATTTTTTCAGATAATAAAGAATAGGGTGAGTGGAGGTGCAATGAACTTCTTTTATCATACAGTTTTTAAATAAATGGTTGATAAGAATTCAAAAACATTTCCACCANGACGTGAAAAAAAAATTTACCACTGAAGAATGTGAAATTATATATCACTGAAGAATTTGAAAATGCCACGTGTTTTTTTTGTGAATAACGTCGTGTCACATATTGACCAATCAGAATTAAGGATTAGCGGTCAGGCAGTTTCGAGATATTTCGATATAAAACAACTTCACGTTTCGTTCATCTTTAGTAAATAGGATGTAAAAATGACACGTAAATGTTAACACAAACAAATTCAGCACAAAAATTCAACACATGCATTCAAAACAATTATGAACACAATCGTCGAAATCAATAAATAATTTACTTACGGCATGCGAATTAATTTAATGAAAAATCAAAACAATATGAACAACAATACACTGAATTGTATACATCAAATTCAATAAATTGATATCAAATTACAATTAAACTAATTACGACAAAATAGCATCTTAGTACACAACACTTCACAGTTTCTTTGAAATCTGTTCCAGAAAATATTATCTCTATTGAATTCAGTAGCGAAGTGGCAAAACGGTTTAAGTCGTTTTATCCCCCAGTTGAGTTTTTGAGGAATATTTCCGAATCTGAGGGAGATAGCGGAATTTTCGTAATTACATTTGTTATAGCTCTCAATCGGCTCTAAAAAAAGGTCATAACAAAATTTTGCTATCTCCCGTAGATTCCGAGATATTCATTGAAAACTGGTTAATAGTCAAAATTGACTTGTACCGTTTTATCACTTCGTTACTGAATTGTATTAAATCTGTACCTATTCAATTACAATTACTTTTAAACTGGAAATTCACATCTCCCATTGTTGGGAGACGACGCAACTTCGCGAAAACTCTCATCAGCTTCGATTGAATAATAACAATTATTTTTATTCATTAATGAGAAAGCGATTTATTTTTATACACTCGATGAATCGATATATATATTCATGTCCATTGTCCAGGAATGGATGCTGCCCAGTGACTTCGACCCTCTTTTTTTCCTCTAGTCTCAAAACACTGGTTATCATGTCGGTTGTGCAGATCCAAGGTGGAAAATATCAAACCTACATTTCATTTTTTCAGTACAATAATTCTATACATTTTGTAGCATCATTGAAATCATATATCTCATCCCTTTGACTATACGAGGTATCGCGAATTATAGTCCCAGAAGTTTCACGGAGAATCAACACACGTCACGCGATAAAAAATACCCTGTGCACTTGGCTAGAGTTTCTATCCTCTAAAAAGGTTAGTCAACTACTCTAGATGAATAATCCTCTTCAAGTTTAATTTTTACGTAATCATGTAGGACATATCTCCGATGAAAAATACGACGGTTTTTTACATGTAATCGTTGACAACTCGACTGTAATCATCGCCTGCTAACCTTGAGGGAAACGTAACCTCAATATTTTGTATTTGTTTGTTTTTTTGTGTTAAAATATTGAGTCTCCTATTTTTTACTAAAAAGGTTTTCATACACATCATGTCAATAATTTACATGTGCAAATATCCCTCGACTAAATTTTATTTTATTATCGTAGCCAGCGTGATCAAAACGTGTTAGAACCTTGATATAATAAATTATGGTAAACTTTTCTGTCGCAAACTAGGGGCGGATGGGGTAAAACGGACACTAGACTTTTTTTTCAATTATTCATAACTCAGAAACAAATTGATCAATTGAGCTCAGTTTAGGCTCGTCACAAAGGGAAAGAATTGTTCTTTGTACTGAAGAAGAATTATTAAATTTTATCAACATTTCAACCTCTCCTTAATATTAAAAAAAAAGTCAAAAGTGTCCGTTTTACCCCAACCTCCCCTACTATTCCGAAATCATGCAGGAGTTGGATTTTGGAATGTTCGTTCACAACAAACTTATTCATTCAGGTTTAATGTAAATGGGTGAAGGTTACGCTGAAAATAATTAACTTTCACATGAAACATTTACTTGCCCTCGAGATAGGAAATTTATTGAAAATCCATAGTCATCATCATAACTCAAGGTTCAGAAAAATCTGGTAAATTGTGGTATAAAGGGAAGAAGAAAGAGAAAAGTGACATGAAAGTTTTTCTATTTCTACTATATTTTTTGCACATTAAAATTCATTCATTTTTTATCACGCACGATAAAATTTAATAGAAAAACCTAGCGAATTCGTCAGAAAATTCTATTGGATTTCTATTGAACTTTCTATTAGTTTTTGGCCGATTCTATTAAAATGTTCAATAGAAAATATTCTATAGAAAAAGTCAAGAGAATTCGATTTTTCTATACAACTTATTCTATCGAGATATTTTCTAAAGAATTTCCTCGGCTCAAATTTTCCAAGTTTTTTTCCTTCCATTTTTCTTTTCTTCTCATCAAGAAAATCAAACAAAAAAACTTGGAAAATTTGAGCCGAGGAAATTCTTTAGAAAATATCTCGATAGAATAAGTTGTATAGAAAAATCGAATTCTCTTGACTTTTTCTATAGAATATTTTCTATTGAACATTTTAATAGAATCGGCCAAAAACTAATAGAAAGTAATAGAAATTCAATAGAATTTTCTAACGAATTCGATAGGTTTTTCTATTGACTTTTTTCGTGCGTGAGAAGATGAGAAAATGACTAAAAATATTAAAAGCTTCGATTTAGTGAATCATGAATCAGAGATTTTCATATTGAATGAATAGAGAGTTTATGCAGAGAAAATCGTCCAGATATTAAAAAAATATAACCGCCACTTACGCTCAATCGCTTTGAGTTCGAAAGAAAACAATATCTTCTTTTCCTTCTGTCAAACTAGAAGTTCAATATAAATCCAATAGAATTGTCTAGCGAATTCGCTAAGTTTTTCTATTAAACTTTTTCATCAGTGATGGTCAATGGGGATCGCCTCTCACACAAAAAATATTCCGAGAATGCAATGTAGAAAATTGTATTGTGAAATGCCATAAAAATAATAACTTACGCCTGAATTACTGTCTGCGAAATTAATGGAATATTCACGTTTCATGATTCACAGGTGGCTATGAAACCTATCACCAGAACACAAAGTACATTGAGAGAAAACCAGCAGAGTTCTCGAACAAGTCTTAATTATGCCAAAGAAATCGTTCATTAAAAATGATCAAAAAAGGATTTTTTTGTGAGAAATAATCGAAGCGTGCGCCGAGATTGAAAATTTTAATTGCAAACACGTATGAAAAAATTCAATAGAAAACCTCAACAAATTCTCGTGAAAATTATATATGTTTTTTGCGCATATTCGA